TGACAAAATGCACTCGCTTTCCGAACACACACACACAGACAGCCTCTCGACAATATGCGTTTTTGCAGGCTGTGGCAGCGCTTAGCGCTGCATAGCAAAAATGCATAAAAGACGACTGAGCTTCATGCAAAAAACTGGTAATCATATATCTGCAGGTCCATGCGGCTCTATAACGCAACATCCTCATCCCAACCGATACCCATTCTGCTGCATACCTGAAAAAACCAAAGTATGACCAATGTGAGCCTAAATGTTTGACTGCTGGGATTATTCCTGGTATTAGCTACCCGCGAGTTTGGTGCACGAACGCACGATCGCACCTGTAGGCCCGATGCGTTCCAACCTGGGTTAAATTTATGCCACTTTCTTGTAAATTTTTAGATATGCAGATTTCAGGCTTTATTTTTGTAAAGCCTAGGTCTCTGTGAAGAAGCATTGTCTATCAACTAATCAGTATACAAACCAAATAAATACGTGCATTTCACACTAACGCACATATCTAGGAATGCAAAGTTCATATAACACTTTTTGAACAAACAAAAAAATTACTAGGAGCTTTGTAGTTGCAAGTGTTTTGTGCGGTTATAAAAATGATACTCCTGACCGCGCAAGGATAAGCGCTAAAAAAGTCAGGTTTGCTATTTTATACTAGCAAGGATTACTCTATGAGCTTAAAATTTTAACTCATTTTTACAAAATGGTTTTTGATAACGCCAGTTATTTTAAAGTTAGCGCTAATTCGCAATCAAATTTGGCATTCCAGCATTGGTCAGCGATAGTAAATCAACGCAAGAAAGTGGTTCTTGTATCGTTCGGTTCTGTAGTGGCCAGCTAAATGATGCCAAATGAAACGAAACAAGCTCTTTTGAACACATTTGATCGATTCCCAGATGTTACGTTCATCTGGAAGTACGAAAAAGAGGAGCACCACATCGCCGATGGGCATCCAAATGTGATCACCGACAAATGGCTACCACAAACAGATCTACTCGGTAACACCAGTTTTGTTCTAAAAATGGTAGTTACTGTAACTTACGTCAAAAAAATGTTACATTCAAAAAAATCCAAGGTTACCTGATATTCTTGCATGACGGGTATGTCCCTAATGCCCAACACGCACAAGGGCCTCTCGTAACAGGTATAGCCCAGCAGGTTGACCAGTAGGCAACGCAGCACTTGTTAAGACAACTAGAAAAGTTGCTAGTTGCGCAGTTGGTGAATCAGAACATAAATTACATCTGAACTAAATATTCCAAGAATAAAATTATTTGAATGCATACATATAAAGAATTTTACAAGTTTTTTAGCACATACAAGTTTTTTAGCACATCCAAATTTGGTGGCATTTCTGACGCACGGTGGTATGAATAGTATCACGGAGACGCTAAGTCGTGGAAAGCCTGTCATCGTGGTACCTGTATTTGGTGACCAGATGCATAATGCTGTACTGGCAGAGCGATCCGGTTTTGGCATAATGCTATCAGTTTCGGATTTTCAGGTAGAGAAGAAACTCAGCGATGCGTTCGAGCAGATTATCAATGATAAGAGGTAGAATTCATTTCGTATTTCAATATCTGCTAGGGTTAAACAGCTTCCTTTCGTGCGAGCATATATTGAAATGAAATAAATACTTAAAATAGCTACAGTTACAGCTGAATGTTAACAGCCTTCTCCTGTAGGAGCAGCGATTTTTACAGCAATTGATTTTCGCATAATTTTTTAAAAGATTATCGACGATAAATGCAAATTCTTGGTTTCTAAGCTATAATGGCAATGACTCTAGAACATGTTTAAAATTATCGTCAGATTTCTTCCCAGCTGAATGAGATTTGTTGATGTTTGTTGAAAAATGCGGTTATTGGAGTTGCTTGTGCGGTCACCCATTTCTCGTAAGAATTACCATTTTTCCACTACACTGTTTTGAAATTCAGGTTCTCACAAAAAGCGGAGCGGCTATCCAGAATGATAGCAAAAAGGCCGAATTCAGCCACGGAGCAATTGATAAGGCACGTGGAATTTGCTGCTGAATTTGGCCAAATACCGAACTTTGATCCGTATGGCAGAAAGATGTCGTTCGTATCGTACTTCATGCTTGACATCATTATACCATTCATAACAATTTTGATGCTTGTACTCGCTTTGCTTTGCTATGCGTGCTATAAGCTATGCAGAAAACTTATCCTAGGAAGGGGTAGCCAAACAGAAGGACAAAACACTAAAAAAAGCAATAAAAAAGAAGTACGGCGAGGTTTTTTGCTAATAACTTTTAGATATTTTTTTTATTTGCGGACGTATTCGAAATCTTACTGTGTGTAATTAATAGTTATGAGACTAAAGTCCATTTTATGTTTCACTACTTGGGAAAATATGGAGGAAGTAGGAATCAATTCGAGTGCTGCATTTCATTAATAACTGGCTCCATTCGTTGACAGTTTTGTTGATGCCTGCCTAGCCTGGAGCTTTCTACACATATAAGCCGAAGGCAGTTTTAACTTCCTGAGATGCCCAGTGTTATCTTACTATGAGGAAGAAAACACAATGAGATAGATCCTCTCAATGGCCGAGCTGGATCGTCGATTTAAGCCCGAGTGCAGCGCTTCTTATCAGGACACCAAGCTACCGGCAAATACGTCAAGATTAGCAACATTGTTTGGGTTCGCGTTCGGATATACCATGTCAGTGAAAAATAGTCTGATGCTTTAAATAAAACGATTTAAACGCTCCAGCTTTCTCAGTGAGAAAATTTAACACCTCAAAAGGTATTATGTACCTGATTCTATATCGTTGTTGTTTTTTCTGGATGGCAGCTGAAACTGATCGCAATAGAAAAACTGTAGTAGGCACAGATGAGCCCATCAAATGACTCTTGAGTAGTGAGTTAGTGAGTTATTATGACCGGAAAGCTTGTAGGTTAGCTTTGGGTTCATAAGCCATGGCACAGTGGCTTCGAGTTCATTGCTGTACTTTAGGCCGATCGAACTTCAAAAATTCAAGTTGTTGTTTTGCTTTGCCCTGAAGCTTTTATGCTGAATAAGTAGTCAAAATTGTAAAATGGAGCTCACTAAAATTCCACTGTTATTACAGCATATGACTGACAGTTTGAAAGACTGCAGTCAAAAAACAAGTATTTAAACAGTTAGTTGGCAACGCATTCACCGAATCATCGAATTTAAATTTCTTTTGAAAACTGTCACTGGTCCTTATGTTGATATAATCGCAGAAGACCTTCATTTATTGCAGAACCAGCTGGACAGTTTCGTAACCAGTTAACAAATGAGCAAGGCTCATTTCTTCAGTTTGTGAAGAGTCTCAAGAATTCGCTGAGCTCCTGCAAAACTATTACCACTTGGGACAGACAGCATAGTGAGTAACCACTTGAGTATAAAGTAAGCAGAATTAAGCGTAAGAAAATGACTGGAATAAGCAGCCTTTACCGAGTTACATCTTATTCAGCTCTTATATAGCATCAGCTTCGAAAGCAGATGCCTCGATGGTAATCATGAAATAGCACACATGCTGAGGAAAAGAAATTAGCAGCATTTCAACATGTCATCAAACGACGCACTTCCAGTGATAAGAGAATGCTACATTTTCATAAATTACTTCTATTCCATTTCGGAAAGAACGATGCTGCAAAGAAAGTCTGCATCAGATTGATGAGCTAGGCTGGAACCCGATAGGGAGTTTTAAAAAACAACAAAAACAATTTGGATTAGTGGATGATACTCATTCAGTTTCTACTGATTTTATGTGGGTCCAGTACGAACGGGAAATTTTGTCAGTAAAATAAGAGGACTCGCACGAACGTCTTTACAGAGTTGCACGGATGGAGCAAGCTCAAAAAGGAGAAGCTGCCAGATGCATTCAAAGGAATGCAGAGACGAAACAACAGCTCATCAGAGTATCGAAGGACCTTCCGGTGTTTGGCGTATGTGCAGCATTACGACATTTGTTTTTCTGCCTACAGCTGATCCTTGCTCGCAGTCCTCCGCACGATTGATTAGAAATGATGGATGATTTTTTTCCAAATTTAAAACCAGAAAAATTTCTTAGGTGCTTTTCCACTTCTGCAAAGGAATACCACCTAGTTTTTGTTTCTTACTCAACCCCCACAACGAAGTTTTGTAACACAAACTCAACATTATACCGAACCCAAACCGAAAATTCTGATGCCTCACTGCTCATGGTTTATTTGCTTCTTCACAGTTTGCTCTGTTCCGTTGAATGCATATAAAATTTTGATATTCAATCCACGTTTTGGCAAAAGCCATGTGAGATTCATGGGCAACATCGCTGACACACTGGTCGAAGCAGGACATGAAGTGGTATGTAATTAGGCAATTTGTTGGCCTTTGCTTTGTTTAAAATCATGCACTTTTAAGTTATAGCAGTACAGCATTGCTAACTATGCGTTTGCGCTGTGTAATAGCAGCATAAAACGCATATTGTCACTGGGTTGTCTGCACACGTGTGCGTGTGTGTGTCCGAATGCATTTTGTCTCGCACTTTCAGCTTGGGAGCCACAAAAGCTAGAAGACTGAAATTTTAGCAAATTATTTCCTGCTCACATACGACCCAGAAAAATTTAAATTCAGCTCTCTCGTGCACATAAGTATCAAGTACGGTCCCGTGAAGGTTTTGGCGGGGAAAATTATTAGCTCGGGAAGCACGAAAACTACAAAACTGAAATTTCGGGGCATTATCCCCTACCTAAATTCGACTCCTCTAGTTCAGCCTTCCGTGCCTGCAGGCAACACGTCCACTATTTTTCCACATTCGAAAGCGTAAAACAGTCATATTTTTAGTAAGCAAACATCCACTGGACAGAACTGAGCAAAACGCGTGATCGCACCGGCTATCATGGCGCGCAGCGCTACTTTTTCAGTGGGAGTTGTGTTGCAGCGATAAGGGTCGGAAGTGGTCAGCGGGCATCTTTTTCAAGAATTACGTACAAATTTTATTTCCTTTCTAAAATTAATGTTTGTATGATACGGCCATGTCTAAAGTACTAATTGTTTTCTAGATAAGTTTTTATGCATTTTTACGCGTTTTTGCTGTGCAGCGCTATAACAGCCCTATAGCAGCTATAGCGCTGCTACAGCCAGCAAAAACGCGTATTGTCGAGAGGCTGTCTGTGTGTGTGTGTGCTCGCAAAGCGAGTGCATTTTGTCACCCACTTTCAACTCGGCAACCAGGAAAGCTGGGGGCTGAAAC